TTCGAAGTTTATTTGCCACAAATGCCACATGAGGATATATGATACTAAGAAGAATACCACTCCATCCACCCTTAAAAAAGCGCGAGATCTGGTCAGAAACAGTCAACACATATGGTGTACATTCGAGAATCAAACTACGATAAAAGATTGCAGTGTTTGCCGTCATCGTGTCAATTTGTCAGATGGCTGCCTGAAACCAGCAAAGGAGCCCGCCGCAACAGTTGCTGGTGACTCTCCCAGCACCAGCCCTAGCCCCCACTCACAACACAGCCCTGTCACACCCAGTCAAACAACCTCCACATATGACCCAACAACCAGACCCTCTAGTTCAAACACACCACATTCTTCCCACATAAACACTGTTTTTCCCTCACAAACACAAAGTGCAGAACAGAATGAAATTACATGTATTTCAATCCCTCTTGCAACATCAACACCACTAAGACCTTCAAAACCAGAGTTGAAAGACATTGGCACTTCTCCAATGTTCCTACAAACAGATAAGGTTCACCAAGACAGCACAACATCCCCACTTTTCAAAACTTTAGAGGAGTCAGACACGTTAGCTCACTCACTCAGCCAACCTCTAGATGCACCTCTCAGTAAGAGGGAGGATGATGTCAGCACACATTTGTTTAAAAGAAAACTTTTCACAACTAAAAATCCACAAAATGTAGTCACATTCAAAACAGGGGGACAGCCAATTGCTGTAAAAAGACTAATTATTCCAAGAAAAGATTCTTCTGAAGCAGCTAGTCCCACAAAGAGAAGACGGTCGCGATTGCTAGAAGGTACGAGAGCAAATGTTGCTGGACCATCGATGTCAGCTGAAGACATTCAGTTTGCCTCTGAATTGAAGAAAATGCCAGGAAAAAGGAGGCAAGGGGTTTTCAACAAAGCTGGGGCTCAGAGTAGGATTAGATTAACCCCTCAACAAACTTTGATTATGAAAGAGACAGCGGGATTTAGCGGTAGGCAGGGTAGGTATTATGGGAAAGCTTTAAAGCAAGTAGGGGTACACTTGGCTAATGAACATTCCGTTAGGAAATTATCAAAAGAAGTTGTGTCAGACTCTGTAGAAGTTGAGCACAGAATGTTTCTTGACAACCAGGGAAAAGAACAGGGTGTCCCGTACGGCCGCATTAAGAATTTATCCTCATTTGTTGATAGCCTGTTAGATGAGTATGTTGAGAATGACCTCCTTGTGTGGCCTGACACAATACCACAAGAGGAAGTGTGGATCAAAATTGGGGGGGACCATGGCAAAAACTCGTTCAAAATGACACTTCAGACAGTCAATACATACAAACCCAATGCTAAACAAAACACAATCGTCATTGCTACAGCCGCAGTAAAAGACACACATGAAAACATAGTTAGGTTTTTAGCTGGGGGTTTAGGAGATGACATCGCATCATTATCGGCACATACATGGAGGGGGAAAAGGCTGAAAATCTTTGTCAATGGAGATTATGATTTCATGTGCAAAATGTACAGTCTGTTGGGTCCACAAGGAACGCACCCATGCCTGTGGTGCTTGATACCTAAAGCCAAACACTATGTTTTTCCTGAAACTTATCAGCAAAGAGATCTGCACATGTTACACACAGACCATGCTGCGTTCATGGCACAACATGGTGGGGACAAAAAGGGAGCAGCTCAACATCACGACTGCTTGCATGCACCTTTACTCACAACAGAACTAGACCATGTTACACCTCCATACCTACACATATTGTTAGGTATTGTTCTAAAACACCACAAATTGTTAGAGATAGAAGCAGACAAACTTGATAGGACTATTGCATCCATGACACCCAAAACTCTCACAAAGCTTGGACTTACACTCATGAAATATGGACAAAATTACAAGACAGCACAAGAAATACAAGAAAAGATCCGCTTTACTAGGACATGCGCTGCCATGAGTGACACACAAGAAGAGAAAGGAACGTTTAGGACAGAGACAAGGCGGCTGCGGCACACCCTGTCTGAACTAGATCGCGTTGAGCTGTCCCCCCGATCTGGACCAGTGGCTTCAAGCCTTGACACTATTCTCACTAAACACCGCATTACGCCACAAGCTTACCACAGTCGATCATTCATTGGCAATCATTGCCACAAATACCTCAACCCAAAGGTGTACAGACATCTCACTCAGACAATTGTAGAGCAGACACAGATGTACGCGTATGATCCAATCATTGTTGACAAAGCACACACAATAGGTTTGATTTTCGACTCACTCAACAAAGCATACAGTCAAATCCATGATGACATCTCACACAGCATACCTATTCCGAAAACCTCTATTCCAGCAATTCAGACAGCAATAGACACGTACATGAAGCTGTACAGAAGACATTTTCCAAAAAAGACAATCCCCAAACAGCACATTTTAGAACAACACTGCATTCCATTCATAACACAACACGGCTTTGGCTTGGGCCTGCTGGGAGAACAAGGAACTGAAAGCTGTCACCAGTCTATTTCAAAAATTGAAAAGCGGGCTCAAGGCATAGAAGACAATACTGAAAAGCTACGATATGTTTTGAACGCACATTTGCTCCAGACAGCGCCTTCACTGCGCATCGAGGCTGCAGGCACCGAGAAAGCAACCACGGCACCATAGATAAACGTATATATCTACTGTACAAAATGTGTAAATAATCTAGATCTGAGTCATTAATGAAAGATACTGTGATGTGAATTTAATCACAAGCCCGACGAATTTGACTTTTGAACGAAAAAGCAAAAATATGGATTACTAATCTTCCAACGATGATGTCCTTTGTTGAGTAGATACCCACATTATTTGTCTTTATTCTGAGCCAGTTTTAGTGAATTTATTCGAGCCCTTTGGTTGTTACATAACTTTTAATTCGGTGTATATTACATTAATTACCACATATAAGACGGCTGTATTTGATCGCATGCAGTTACAAAACTATACAAGATATCTTCGTTGCGTTTTCACAAACTGTACATTGAAAGAAGAAGCTCAAAGATGGAACACTATGTATATATTGATAACCCTGCTTTCATTCGTGAGCGTTGAAACAAAACTGTGTAAAATTGCTGTGGTATGTAACTCCGCGCGTGGAGTGAGCGCAGGCAGACTGACCGGCAGCTGACCCCGGTCACGCTGACCTAGCAGCGTACGGCCTGGCGAAACTAAACGACCGCTGATTCGGCGCTGTGGTCTTCTTTGCAGCTGATGGCCACGTACGGCTGCTTCGGAAGCTCCCTGGGAGAAGGGAGGAAAGAAGCAACGGTAAAGGTCCTTTTTCCTGTTTTTGAACTTTTGCTCGGCTCAGCGGCCGCACCCGCTTCCGCGAGCCGAGACTTTTTGTTAACGTTGGGAGCTGGGGAAGGGTCTTTTTTTAATTTGGATTCCAGATTAAATTTATGGTTGATTCTACTCCGGGGCTCCTCGCCCGCCACGGAGCCCAACAAGGGGACACATTGCTCAGATGACCAGAGCTGTGCCAGGGCTACCCCGGAGCTATACTCTCAACGAGAAAGTGCAAGACCTTCCCGTCAAGATTGACCCAGGGCTTGATGGGGTTTCAGCTCTCAGGTTGAGTGGCATGGGCTGTGCCACCCTCCCGTCTAAGAGGAAAACCTGGGCCAAAGAGGTGTGTTGGCAAGGGACAGTCCGTGGACTGATCTCACCTCAACCGCCAGGTACCCGGTTTCCCTCCGCACGGGTCGCACCTCACAGTCAACGAGGCGCCCACTCTGTGAGATGGGTGACCTCTCTTTTTGCTGCACATGAGGTCAGCGGTGGTAGGAAAGATAGAAGAAGAAAGAAAGAAGGAAGGAGAAGAGGAAGATACACCAAAGTAGGTGTCGCACACTGATCCCAGAGGATTGGGGTTCGTGTGCGACACCTCGCCTTTGAGGGGGTTGCACCTTCTGCAGACGAAGCAGTGGGTCTATTTATATCCCCACGACCCACTGGGGGTAACTCATATTATATGTCGTCACCTTAGGATTCTTAACAGCTAAAATGTGTAAGAGCCTTGCTTTTTAGCTTTTTTCCACTCTTGTGTTAAATTTACAGAAATCAAATCAGCCGTTTAAAATTCTGCAGGAATGAATATAGAGATATAACATAGCAAAAAAAGTACAGTCCGTGCCGGCTTTAAGCACCCCGGCATATAGCACGTTTCAGACTCAGGCACGCTAAACAGCTCTTACTGATTTTTTGCTATATAAATTACACGCCTTTAAGAATGGTAACTTCGGCTTCGAGCACGCTTCATTTACAAGACAGTCAATACTTTCATGATGACCCATTGAAGTTCGAACACAGTCTACACCGCAGCAGTGAGTGTGTTAAGCGAAACACAAAGAACGCAAGTGATGGAGACACACACACTAGCAGAGAGGAAGGCAGAGAGAAGCACACAGCCGTGCACATTGACATAGGATCTAGCCTAGGCCAAAACTACACAAAGACGAAAAAAATGCTAAGAGAGTCGGGGAGACGAGAAAGGGAGGCTGGCTGTGATCTGACCTTTGACCCTCGCTATCCATTAATCCTGATTATGTATCACGCGCAAGGTGGGATGAAGGCGGTGGTATGATTGTGGCACAGCGGGCAGTGGTACGCACAGGCAGTGTGTAGGTCTAGTGTGCTGTATCGTGACAAGCCGTCTAAATTAAGTTTTCATTTCTCATTCGACCAAAAAACAAAACAAACGAACAAAAACTACCATGGCGGGTAAAAATAACTGTGCACACTTTTGCGGGACCACTATAGGCCTACTTACAAACAAGGGGAAATAGCACGAGAAATTTTCTACATGAAAATCTCTGGATTATGTCTACTTCGCACTCAAGCACGCTTCGGCATTAAGCACGCTTAAGCTTTCTCCCGATGACTGTGCTTAAAGCCGGCATGGACTGTACAATAAACGAATAGTCTGGAGGAAACCATTTTGCTCAGGAATTTCAGTGAAGATTGTGCATCAGCATGCTTATATATGGCTTACCTGTTTGTCACATTCTGAGAGCCTTATTTCCCTCACTTTTGAGGCATACTCTGCTCTGTCTTCGTATGCAAGTGGAACAGGATTTCCCTGACCGTCCACTTTGATATTGACTGATGTGCCATCACTAAGAACCATACTCCAGCTTCTGCCGGCAGCTGTGAAAGTTTCATGGTCCATTTTTGCCAGGTTGTCAATTATTTTCACCTGAAAGAAAAAGGTACACAGAAAGTGGCTGATTGAATAACTAAAGAAATACATCTTCGTTGTTTTTTTCCTAACCTGGCCTAACAGTAATAACGCCAACAAATCTTTATCATGGTATTAATGTACACAATATCGTTTTATTGCTCTTTTTAGTTGGGACAGCAATTCAGACTTTCTTGTACAGCAAAAGTTCACTTTCTACAAAATTTTTAAGCCCACTATGAACTACAGTGGATCTCCGATAAAACGAACTTGGATTCAAGAAAAAAACCAACCTCGTTTTAGTATAGGGCTTTAGAGTGCTTGCAACTGCATATAGTCGTCCTCCGTTGGTAATGGGGGGAATGGAGGGGTACGGGGAGGTGGAGCAGACAGAGGGGGCTGGGAAGGGGCTGAGGAGAGGGGGGTGGGACCACCTCCCACTCCATCAGAGGGATGGGCTGTGGGGTGGAAGAAGAAGAAGAAGAAGTGATAGAAGAGGGGTGAGGGGGAGAATGGGGCGGCGGGGGAAGAGTCCATCCCGTCCTCCTCAAAAACCCCAAAGCGGTTAGTCGGTGGTACCTCAAAGGTGGGTACCACAGGGGTAGGAAAAACATTTTTTTACTTTATTACAAAGACTCGCTTGTTGACCGCGGGCTGTGGGAAGTCGGCAGTAGAGGTACTGGCCACTTCATGACTGGCCGCAGTACCTTCGCATATGTCCGGCCACGGACCGGGATCACGATTGGCGTGCAGACAGCTTTGCAGGCTACTTGGAAGGAGCAGACATTTCGCGTTTTGTGCTCTTGGATTGCGCGTTCTTAAATCCAAGTCAGGCAATCCTTGCTGAGGGCTGTGTGCTGGCCTTGGCAATTTGGGCAGCAAGGACTAGCCTAGCATTCCTTCTCAGGATGCCCAGTCTTGCCACAGCGAGGACACACGGCTGCACGTCAGCATCGCGACTGACTATGGCCAAACTTCTGACACTGAAAACAGCCCATAGGATTTCGCACATAGGGTTGCACATCCAGGACCAAGTATGATGCCCGAATGGTGGCTGGAGGGCTGCACGAATCGAAAGTTAGAATTATCGTATCCGTTTCAAGTGTGGTGCCCCCCCGCTGAAGAGTAATCTGGCGGGCTTCGACCACACCCTCGCAATTAGCCACAATTTCCTCTTTGGAGCAGCCCCATAGCTCATGGCTGCGGACAACGCTCTTTGATCGGTTGAACTTCTGGTGTCGCTCGGATACAAAAGGAACACCGCCGAAGGTCGTGATTTTTTCCATTCCGGCCATTTCTTCATCCGATGCGCACTTGACAAGGACAGTTTCTGAACATTCGTAGGAATGTATCCCAGAACTTGTCGTAGTGCTTCTCCTGTCTTAAATAGGTTGAGATCGGTGATCTTTTTCTGCACATTGGTGCTGTGGATGGTCAAGTACGGCTGCCTCGGATGTTTCCAGGGAGAAGGGAGGAAAGGGGCAGCGGTAAAAGTCCTTTTTCCTGTAGTTATAGATGGTTTGCCCCGCTTCCGCAAGCCGAGACTTCTTAACGCTGGGAGCTGGGGAAGGGTCTTTGGTATCTTTGGAATCCATAGGGAGTTTGAGGATGGTCCAGCTCCGGGGCTCCCCACCTGCCATCGAGCCCAACAAGGGGGCACATTGCTCGGATAGCCACAGCTGTGCCAGGGCTACCCCGGAGTTATACTCTTTCCAAGAGTGTACAAGACCCTCCCGTCAAGAATGACCCAGGGCCTGAAGGGGTTTCAGCTCCCAACTGATTGAGTGGCATGGGCCGTGCCATCCTCCCGTCTAAGAGGAAAAACTGGGGCCAAAGAGGTGTGCTGGTGAGGGACAGTCCGCAGACTGATCTCACGTCAACCTCCAGGTTTCCCTCCGCACGGGTCCCACCTCACGGTCAATGAGGCGCTCACTCTGTGGGATGAGAGACCTCTAGTTTTGCTCCACATGAGGTCAGCTGTGGAAGAAGAGATAGAAGAAGAAAGAAAGAAGGAAGGAGAAGAGGAAGATACACCAGAAGAGGAAGGGGTTACACCTTCTGCAGACAACGCAGTGGGTCTATTTATATCCCCCCCGACCCACTGGGGGTGAAAAATAACTAGGATTCAGCGAACACACAAATGAGTGAACTCAGATTCAACGAAGTTGCTTAACCAGGCGAACAGCTCCCTTGACTTCCGTCAATATCCTTCCACAACAAAACTAACTCCTGTTGTTGAATCCGAGTTTTCGTTGAATCCGAGTTTCACCGTAAAAATAAAACGGACACTCGAATTCGAATTCAACTAAATGGAAGGTCAGGCCTGATGACTTCAGACGTATGGGTACATTAAGCTAAGGAGACAAGGACTCTGAGTCAGTCTCTACTTATGGAAAACAAACCATGCTCTCTAATACAACATACTTCTGCTGAATCCACAGTGGCAAAGTCCTGGGACCACGAGTAGCTTTCACCAAACAAACGCTTCCAAATGTACTGGGATAGAGACACAATCTGAAATATTAATTAGAGTCTTTTAAAAACTTTTTATAACTGAGCCAAGACGTCGTACATAGCCCATTTTCAGCTGGGTCAAAATACTGACATGTGGTTCAATTTTTACAAGTCCAACACACAACAAAAGACATTCTAATTCACTTTAAATAAAGGAAATAAGACTTCAGGCTGTGAGAACATATCTAGAAAGAAAAAAGAAAACTAGGGCCAAACTCAGTGCTGTAGCTATAATTTCTTAGAATCAATATAATTTGGGACCAGTAACTTTATAACAGAAACTCAAATGAAAAGTTTTTAAAAAATTATAAGAAAAAGATACAGCAACATAAAAAGCCAAATAAGGCCTCTTATTATTTTACTTACTTTTCAGAATTACCTCGGCAGAGAAAAATGATGGTTATTTAAACTCCATCTTTTAAAGGAACAGTACATTCGGGATAAAATAACATTACAAAAAAGACTATCCATGAAGTCCGAGACCAACACTGATGTACGTGATGACCCACACACTGATACAAAATGTTTTCCTCTTGATCACAGAAAAAGCAATCTTGACATGTCAATAATTATAAAAATCACCGACACTCTAAGCCCATTTACTACCACACTATTTGACTGCTGAGGGGTGGGGGTTTGCCACTAAAATACTGCTTTATTGTACTATTGATAAATAGAGTCATGAAGTTGGCAAGCTGATGTTGTTGTTGTCATTGACCCAGGAACAGCTGGGCCCCCGCTCTTCTGTCCAATGCCATGTAGTGATAAGTGCAGGTTTGCTGCAGTTGCTGTAATGTTCCATAGAGTGTGTTGTCAATATTAGACTTCAGACAGAGAAGTGCAGCTCCGACTCTGATGTCATTTAGGGCTGTGCAGTGGAACAAGTGTTGATCCACTGTCTCATATACAGGGTGATCCAAAAAAAAACTTTACAACTTGTGTTCCATAGAGTGTGTTGTCAATATTAGACTTCAGAAGGAGAAGTGCAGCTCCGACTCTGATGTCATTTCGGGCTGTGCAGTGGAACAGGTGTTGATCCACTGTCTCATATACAGGGTGATCCAAAAAAACACTTTACAACTTGTTTTGTTAATATCTTCCTCCATACTGAAGTTTTGCGTTTCAGATTGAACATAACATTTGGAAGCCAAAAGCAATTTGTCTGAAACGTATTTTAGATAAATCCATTGAACGGTTTTGCTCTGTATAGTGCATTTAAAAAACAACCCATTTTCAACCTTGTCGCCATTTTCATAGCATGATGCACCAGTTCGCATTAGGCCTACCACTAAATGTTGCAACAATCGCGCCATATTGCAAGCTACAGCAGTCTAACAAGTCAACAGAAGTCTGCAGATATTATTTTTCCCAAATTTTGATTGCCTGATGAGATCATGACTACGTTTAGTAAAGAGCAGAGAGCTTTTTGTATTGAACGTAACCTCTCCACAAACTCACCATCCCTGACATTTCGTAAGTTCTGCGCACGGCATGGAGAGAATGTTTAGGTGCCCTCAAGACCTTCAGCGTCATGAGTAGAGAAGTTCCGTCAGTTTGGATCTATAGCGAATCAGAACTAAAAAGTTTTTTTTAAAATGACCACTTCAGGTCGAACACGCACCATGCGCAGCCCTTTAAACGCCCATTTTCACCCTGCGGGATATGTTAACTTAACTCATTCGCTACGTATTATTTTCGGCTTGTGGACGTGTTTTATTCGGGAAGGCGAAATGAGATGATGACTACTGCGCAGTTCAAAGGTCTTTGGGGCCACGAATTCAAATAAATATTAACATATGCACCGAAATTTTCAGTATGATTTGTAGAATACATCTGTAATGTTTATTTGTGCATTTTTAAACTCTGGTTCCTGTAAGAGGCGATTATGCAACACAATTTTGCTTGGATGCGAATAAAATTTGAAAATAAAAAATTAATCATCTTCGGTGAAACTAAAAAAATATGTTTGCACCTAGTCAAATGATACATCAAAATAACCATAAATGAATAGATAGAACTGGAAAATATTGAAAACTTTGCAGTTATTTATATCATCATCATCAATGCCTTTCACCCCTGGCAGGGTATAGGCCACATACAAGCTCCTTCCATTTATCTCTGTCCTGAGCCATCCTTCCAAGCTCGTTCCAAGTGAGCTTCATTTCTCTCATGTCCCTTTCCACGCATCTCCTCCATGTTTCCCGTGGCCTACCCATGCCTCGTGCTCCTTGTGGGTTCCACTGCAGTGACTGTCTTGTGATGTTTCCGCTGGGCTTTCTTAAGGTGTGTCCCATCCATCGCCACTTTCTTAGTCCTATTTCTACTTTTTCCTTTTGTCCTGTCCTTTCCCACAGCTCTTCACTTCTTATTCTATCCTGCCAGGGTTAATTCTTAGAATACTAGTTATTTATATACATTCCATTAAATTTGCACATTTGGATCATGACCTCCGATATTGAAAAAAAAAAAAATTTTTTTTTATAATCTTGAAAAATGGACAAGATGCATTCACAAACAGAAAAAAAACACTTGTATCGAATGGAACTATTCAGAATTTTGGAAACATTTGGAACAAACCTATACATGTCTTGAGTGGTACCCTTTTTGTAATTTCACCAAAAAAATAGTGATTTTGGGGCGAAAAAAATAATTTGACAATTTAGATCTCTAGATTTTGCACTGAAAAATATTGATTTCTCAATAACAGAGTAATGGCAATTTGAGCCCAATTGTATCAATATTCTAAAGAATAGTCCTACATTTCTTTAGTGTGCATAATAATGATATATTTTGTTGTGTAAAAGTAGTAAGACTGGGGTCTGGGCTATCCTTCATAAGCTTTTAACGTTATCTTTCATTATATTTGTTCTGTTCCTATGTCTGGATGAAAATAGTCTGTGTGTGTGTGTGTGTGTGTGTGTGTGTGTGTGTGTGTGTGTGTGTGTGTGTGTGTGTGTGTGTGTGTGTGCATTAATGTATATTGCTTGAGAAGAAAGGAAGTAGTAAGAAAGGTTTTTGAAAAATGGATATTCCAATGTAAAGCGCATTGTGCTACTTTTTTGGAAATGCGCTATATAAATGTTATATATTATTATTATTATTATTATTATTTGAGCATCGCGATAAAACAAAGTCGCATAAACTTCGAAATTGTGTTTCAAAACTGAATCAAAACTTCCAATTTTTGGTGGAAACGCTTGACCTGAAAGTCAACATTATATTATGACCTTTATTTTAACATAGAATAGAATCAAATGCAAAACTGCCATTATCTGTTTTAAATGTATTAATGATACTGCACCTTTTTATCTTAAAACATTCCTGGAATAATATCACCCACCTCTAGAGCCCTCAGATTAGCCTCTGATAATCTTACTCTTAAAACTCCAAAACAAAATTACAATACATACGGCGAACGTTCCTTTTTGTTGTTTGGTCCCCAGGTATGGAACGAACTCCCATATTAAATAAGACCTGCACCAATAATCTACATTTTCAAAAAACAGCTGAAGCATTTTTTAATCACAAATGCATACCTGTCATAATGATGAACTGTTATATATATATACATGTGTATGCCATACTGTGAGACTGAAGAACTAGGGTGTGAGAATGAGAGAAAGAGAGAGAGGGGGGGGAGGGGGAGAGGGAGAGAGAGAGGGAGAGAGAGAGAGAGGGAGAGAGAGAGAGAGAGAGAGAGAGAGAGAGGAGAGAGAGAGAGAGAGAGAGAGAGAGAGAGAGAGAGAGAGAGAGAGAGAGAGAGAGAGAGAGAGAGAACGGAAATATTTTTCTGTCTGTAGAGAACGGATGTTTTTATGAATGTTTCTACTTACTCACGTTTTAATTTTATTGTGACCATTCGTGAATTTTTATTGCATTGTATATATATATATACTATATATATATATATATATATATATATATATATATATATATATATGCATAATACTTTGTTTTACATACACGCTTGTCGATTAATTTTTAAGATGTGATATCTTTTTCGATGTAATGCACATTGAGCATTATTTTTAGAAAATGGAAATGCGTAGTATAAATTCTATTTATTATTATTATTATTATCTGTTATTCAGTATGATGTTTTGCATTAGCACTGCAGTGTTTTAGTATATTGGCAGAAGTACTCAAAATGTACTCATAAGTACACTTGTACTCAACTACATTTTACAGGAAAGTACTTTAAATGTGCTTTAGTACATATTTTAGATTGTACTTAAATTTGTACTTAAGTACCTTTTTAAAAGTACTTTAACAGCTCTGCTTTTGAGACCAACAAACCGGATGACAGAACCAACAAACATCACTGTACTATTCTGCCTTACATATTTTTATTAAAGAAGGAATATCAAATGTTTTTCCAATCAAACTTGACAGACACAAATTCTCACCAAGATCTCTTTCCCTCTGAAGCATGCTCCCATGAGCTGACCAATCCACTCATATTTGACAAGATCAAGGCAAGCTGGATTTGGAATGAAGACATCTCTGTTCACATTTCCATCTTCACTGCTCTGTGGAAGGGTCAAGCCATGGAGTACTACTTAAAGGAAAAAAAGTAAGACCCCCATTGACAAGAAAAAGCCAAAGATAAAAGAAAAAGCTATGAATCATTAGTGACTGAAATCTTAGGAACATACATATCATTGTCATCCACTCTCGGGTCTGAAATACAAAAATAGATACAGACACTTTTCATATCAGGTTCCTTATTATTGAAAATGTACAAAGCTTTCAGGTTGTTAACATGTTCTACACATGTTTTATTATAGTTTGCGTGTTCCGTTAGTTAGGGAAAGAGAAAGGAATTGTTTCAGTTCAAGAAGCCAGACAAGAGATGAGGGTACAGCTTGAGACTAGAAAGGAATGCAAGCCCAGTAGTTGAGTACTAAATACATTGCTGGACAGCCATATATATATCAATATTGAGAACACTAATCACTATAAAAATCACATATTTTTTGCTAATGTTCAGATTTTTAAAATTGTATGAGCGGACACTCTGATTGAAAAAAAAAAAAAGAAACAAAAAGAGGCTCAAGAAAACAGATTGAACAGACTTTTCATAAAATATGATTTTGGATTTGGGTTTGACTTGACCTATGGCCGGTAGTGTGTTGTTTCGCTCCGAGGTTTTCGGTCATTTACTTGTGTTATCCTGTACGGATTTCTGTGCATTTTGTATGTGTATATGTGTTTTATAAGGCTGCTTTTGGTGAAGAAGTCTGAAGGTATTCCCTCATTTTGACCGAGGTTTTGGTAATTTTTATGTCTTTTTGTGCTTCTTTGTTGTCAGAGTGAGTTTTTAGGTCTGTCTTTTTATTTTTTGTGGCTCATTTTTGGGGACAGTTTCGTGAGTGAGTTCACGCGTCTTTTCTTGTGCCGTGCTGCGTATTCTTGCTTTCTTTCTAAGATTTTTGTTTTTGAATTCGTGTTCTCTCATACAGACCATTGTGGGATTTTGTTTTTTCCTCTTTTCTTTTTCTTCTCTTTCCCCCTTGTAGATGCATGTGTGGTTCAGGTCCTGCTTTTGGCTTGGTAATTTCTTTTCCGTTTAATCCAGGTTGATAGGGAGTTTTTGTCGTAGTAGAGCTGTGTTTTGTGGATTTTCCTTGTTTGGTTTTGTTTGTTTTTTTCTTAGACGGTTTTAGCTGTTTGATTGCTTTTTTGGTTTCTAGTTAGTTTTTTGTTGTTGTTGGTTTTGTTTTTTATTTAGCTGGGTTTTTTTGGGGATTTTTTGTTATTGCTTTTTCGCTGTTTGTTTTCTTTTGTTGGATTTCATCTTATGCTGTAGGCCTACTTGCGAGAATTCACATGTTTTATCCGAGTCAAAAATGCCCGTGGTGAGTGTCTAACAAATGAAATAGAAATTTCAGAAGAAATAGGCTTACAATTTAAAGCTCTATACAATAGAAGTCAGAACTCCAACTAACAATTTCATAACACATTCACGGACTTTGCCCACAATTTAAAACTGCCTACGTTGACAGAACCTGAGGCGGCTCTGTGTGATGATCCTATCACGGAGGAGGTCACAGCAGCCTTAAAGTCTATGAAAAATGGAACTGGAACTGATGGACTGCCCATCGAGTTCTATAAAGTATTTTGGCGACATTTGAAATCTCCTCTAATGGAATGCTTCGAATTTAGCTTTAAAGAAAGCATTCTCCCGCTATCAGAGAGGTTAACGGTAATTACCCTTCCAAAGGAAAAGATCAGCGAACAGACATACTTAGTAACTGGAGGCCAATCTCACTTACTAATGTTGACTGCAAAGTTTTGGCAAAAGCACTATCAATACGTCTAGATGCAGTTATTTCAATACATTAATTGGAGAACACCAGGTAGGTTTTATGAAAGGAAGGAATATCCCAACAATACACAGAGAAATAGATGATCTTTTGCAATATCAGAGAATCAACAAGAGATCAAGACTTTTATTAGTCATTGATTTTAAACAAGCTTTCGATTCAATTAGAATCCCATATATTTTAGAAACATTAAGAAAATTTGGATTAGGTCCAAACTTCATAAAAATGATGAAAATTTTTAACACTGAAAGGTTAACGTGCGTTAAGAACGGGGGTAGTGTTGGGTCGGGCTCGCAAAATTAGCGTTCGCGAATAACGAACCGTCCGCTTGTGAAGAGTAGTTCGCTACTCGCTACACATTATCCCATAGTAGTTGGTGCCGTTCCTGTCCTATTCATATATTATGTGCACCCACACAAACAAATGAAACCAACCCCCCCCCAAAAAAAACAACAACAAACAAACAACAAAACAACAACAACCCAGAAGCAAAGAAGAAAAGATGGGCCTTGGATGACTTGGGCCTAGCCTTGGCCCTTTGCCTTTGCAGAGTTTACAAGGTAAGAGTACGGCGGATCCCTAGTCCAAACAAGGCCTGCGCCAACGCGCGTTTTGCAGAGAGTTCTAGATCTAGTAGTAATCAAAATTTAGAATACTAAAATTTGCTTCCAAGTTCAGTTTTTGTCCCCTGGTGTTGCCTTCAAATTATTCCCCCCCCCCCCCCATTCCGGAGTCCTATACTTCGCAGCGCTCAGACTTTGAATTAACTTTGGTGACCCCTACAATTGCCGGTACTCATAATGTGATGGAACGCGCAGGTTCATTGACCGGTCACAATGGCGAGCCCAACAAGACGCTTGTATAACTATAACTTTCTTTTCTTTTCTTTTTCTTTCACAAGTGACAGCACAGGACAAATATCGATTTATTTTCAAGGCGACACAGCGTTTGCCATGCACAGCCTGCATGTTATTACAATTAATGTTGCATTATCAAACTACTACCAGCAAATTTCTGGGTGGTAACGAAAGTGAAAGTGTATGTTGATTATCCTGATCAAACGTCGGTATCACACATACACTTCCGCATGCCACCATAGCCGCCTGTCTGCGTGAAGAAACATACTCTCGGGGAAACCGAATGAATATCACAATCGCGACCAGCAAAAATGAACTTTAAGGGCGTTATCGGATTTAGTTTTCAAATACAAGTATTCGATAACTCTCAAATTATTGGGTAATTCCCGGGGCCTGGCAGTCACCCTGCTGAATCACGAAGTCGGTGGCTTATCTCTCAAAATCGATGGATCGGTAGTTTGACCAAAAAGTCGGTGATCTACCGATTTTTTCTGTAGGGTTGGCAGGTTTGTAATTAACAAAATAGACGACGGGTCTAACCTCGCGTCGAGTATCTCGTCTGCTAGAGTTCATCCGTTCGCCCGCCCGCTCAGTTAATAAATTGTGGAGCGGACCCAAAAAACGAACTGACTTGAGGTTCGCAGTTCGCTTTCATGGCCGTCCATTACCCGTTCGCTCTGACAGAGTCCGCGAGTAACGAACCCGTCCGTCCGCTCGCCCCAACTCTAAACGGGGGTCATTTATCGGATATGTTCCAGATGACTAATGGAGTAAGGCAGGGTTGTCCAATTTCTCCACAATTGTTCACTGAACTTCTTGCTAAAAAAAAATAATACAATCCCCTTCATTACAAAGTATAGTTACCAAACAAGGAGAAAAACCTCTAAAAATTAGACAATACGCAAACGACACAACCTTATTCTTGAGGGACACTGGTGATTTGAAAGGAGCATTTAATCAGCTGCAAGAGTACTCAAGTTTTTCTGGTCTACACTTGAACTTAGACAAAACGTTTGCCATGTCTACAAATGGGCAGCACGTTGACACTGCAGGTATAGAATTACAGTTCACAGATTGTATGAAAATTCTAAGCTTGTACTTCAGCAATCATAAACCAGCGGCAGAAATAGACAAAAATTGGACCGGCAAGGTAAACAACCTACTCAGAGCGCTGGGAAGATGGCCACGGCGTGATGTAACAATTTTCGGTAAACTGTATCTGTTAAAGACATTTGGAATAACACAGTTCAATTTTATAATGTAAAGCATTTCCTTACCAAACAATTTATTAGAACAAGTAAATAAGACATCTTTTAGGTTTTTGTGGAAAAAACGATTCAATAATAAAAAAGCCTACGAAAAGGTGAAGTGCAAGGTTCTGTGTAATGATTACGAGAATGGGGGAATAAGGATGATTGACATATTTCGTTTCAAAGATTCAATATTTTTGGCATGGGCAGAAGAGCTCCTTAAACCGGAACAAAAACAATGGAAGGGCAGAGGCAAGTGTTTCTTTAGGGATCTTGGGGGCTTACACATCTTTAAGAGTAAGGTCTCCTTAAAGAACTTTAAGGGAATGAATACCATCCCTAGTCCATTCTGACGAGAGGTCCTCACAAAATGGTTACAGTATGCAGACAATTGTTCACATGATATTCCATCATGGAGTGACCCTCTTTTTAATAATACTCTTATAAAATATAGGAATGAGATGATCCTTCTTTCTTCCTATGTAAAAAGAGGAATAATAACAGTAAATGACATAACGGTTGGAAGGCGAGTTTTGAATCTCGATGAATATACGCAAAGATTTGGCCTATATGGCCGCTGTGTTTTAGACCACAACATATTAATAAATGCAATAAAAACTGTCCCGGGTATCACACCATCGCTGGTGACAGATACGTTTCTCTTCAAAGACAGGGTTGTGGGAAATATAGGACGAAAAACTTTGTATGATGAAATAAAAAACCGACTTCACCTCTATGCTTAAATGGCTTACAAAATACAACGTTAAAGTTACCAAAAAACACTGGGACATTCTGCACGGCCTGTCGGAAACTCGTCTAAAGACCATTTCATGGAAGATACTCCATAACATCTTCCCCACGAATATATTGTAGCACAAAATGAAAATTAAAGAATCTACAAATTGTGAGTATTGCGGGGTGCCTGGCTTTATTGAACACCTTTTTTTAACTGAGTGAAAGTAAAACCCCTTTGGAAGGAAATAGAAAGGGAATTACAAGCCAATCTAGATACAAATATAAAATCAAGTGAGCAGATAGTAATGCTAGGAGACTCTGGGTTGATGTACACCAACAAACGTCGTCTTGAGCTCATAAA